ATTCTTCAGGGTAACTGCCCATACATTTTTGTCCATCATGGAGGCCCCACCTGGTGACAAAAGGCCTGCACTCTGAAACAAATCTGAGCAATGCAACTGCCTACTAGACCCAACAAAAAACGCTAACCTTTAAGCGTGGGCTTAATCAGAAGGCCATCATGGGCTCAAGAACACATACTGACCCTGCAGATGTGAAGAGCTGAAGGGCCGTGGCCAGAGCTGAAGATTGTATACTCAGAATTCTAGATCCTCCCAGACACAGTCTTATCCAGCAGATACCCCCGCCCCCACCCCTGATGACTTAAACCACTCCCCATGCCCTGAAACAGTCAACACACAAAAACCCATGTGGGAGAAGATTCTCCCCAGCTGGAATAAAGGCAGTGGATCCCTTCAAGTCCGTACCAGAACTCCAAGAAAGAAAGAATGTTGTGAACACCTGGAACTACCTTTGTCTGTGTATGTGATCAAAAAGACCCTAGGTTTACCTCCTGAGCTCTGATTTGGAAATTATTGTTGCCATGGGCACCCATCCAAACAGTCTGTGTCCGAGGTTCCTCATTTAAACATGGGGCTAGAATTCTCTACTACTGAAGGTGCAACACTAGGTACATCAAAAGCGCCACAGAGTTAACTATACGTGACTTTTTCAGCTACTTAGAAGGATGCCTGATACACCAGCAGCCTGTCAATATGTTTTAAAAGTTTAATATATATTTTGGAATGAACAAATGTATTAATATGTGAATACATTTCATAATGTTATGTGAAATGTGATATATGAATACTGATGATATCCTCAGGAAATATAACTATTAATATTTTAAAAGTTAAGAAAGATGTCATTTTAGTTCATATAAATACAAAAAACAAAGTACAGGGTTTTTAATTTTGTTTTTAGAAAAACACGCTGTATTCAGACATTAGATCTAAACACTAGATTCAGTGTTATCTACTGATGGAACACCAAGTGAGTTGTTTATCAAAGGCCTGTGGAGATTTTCACCAGCCTACTCACAGGCTAAGTGTCATGAGGAAAAGACAGCATTTTACTATCCATTTTGCAAGCAACTAATAATAATAATAATTTTAAAATCCAAGATTTCTTGACAGATGCAGTCAGGAGAAGGAGAGCAGGGAAACTGTTTCTGTCGTGCGGTTTACTAGACGGGGTATTCAAGCCCATTTCTGTCGTGTGGTTTACTAGACGGGGTATTCAAGCCCATTTCTGTCGTGTGGTTTACTAGACGGGGTATTCAAGCCCGTTTCTGTTGTGTGGTTTACTAGACAGGGTACTCAAGCCCGTTTCTGTGTCTTTGGGAACTGAAAACAAAATGGCAATTCTCATTCACTTTACAAGGACATGGCTAGGAGTTATCTTTTCTCCAGGTAAAAATGAAACAAAAAGCAATCCCAAGGCCTGAAATACTGGGATGTGTGCAGATGTGACAGAGGAGGAGAAGCAGACGGAGATAAAATCAGGGCCATCTGACCTCAGCATCTCCAGAAAGAAACATTAATTAGGCAGAAATAAGAACTGACTTTTTACTTATGGTACCTTTAACAAAATAATTTGTCCTCGTAGCAATGTATATATTCATCTAATGTTTGATTGGATTCAGTATCTAAAACTCTAGGGAAAACAAGCAACCAATTTAATGTTTTATTGTAAATCAAAATATTTACTTTTATAACTCCCAATTTACATCCTAAATCCATAACCCTCGAAAGTTTCATGACAACAGGCTTTTCTGTTCCAGAATCAGACTGTTTTCTTCTATGTAGCTGCCATTCAGAATGCAACAGCCGACCTATCTAACCACAGCCACTGAAAAACGCAAAGGCAACAAGAAAGCATCCAATCTCAGATCTATAATGAGCTAAGCATTCTTAACATCCTAGAACATTTTACAAAAATAAACAAGCACGTGATACAGAGAACTTAATAAACACATGTCACTCTGCTTCGGCAGATTTACGGTAGGAAAGTACTAACAGACAGAAAGGCATGAGCTGTAAATCAAGCCACATACCACTTACGGAATCCCTCTGCAGCTGGAGAAACCCTTAGAAATATTAGCAGAGTAAACACTGTTGTTTCAAAACCTAAGCACCCATTGTAAAAACCATCACCTATTTTTAAACGTACCATTGGGCAGGGACACGGATAGAGCAAATGAGGACTCAGATCGGTCACTAACCAGCACCTCGAGTTTAATCTATAGAAGCACCAGCTCCTACACTGTCAGTGGAGAAGCCAAAGATCAACTGGATATTTGCTTAGCTTCTAGTATCAGCCGATCCTCCTGGGAGTGCCTGAGTCAGGGCTTGCTCCCCAGGCAAGTTCTAGTAAGACCTAATCCTGATCCCTCCCACCCCCTCTCTTCCAGCAAGAGATTTTCAACCTAACATGTTATTTATGGATCCTGTAGCCATTCTTGTTATTGGAATATTTTAACATATTAAAACAAAACCCTTCACTATTTAACAAAACTTTTTAACATATTTAACAAAACCCTTAAAGTCAATAGCGACATACTCCTATTAAATAATGCGCTAAATGTTCTCATGAAAATGAGTCAGAAATTGCATGGAGAGCAGGGTGGCAGCGCCTCTGGGCATCAGGCTGCTCTGTGTAGATGAACAGTATTTATTTGCTAGGCATTTTTCAACACAGTATTTCTATCACCAATCTCAAATACAAAAGGAAGAGAAGTTTTAACAAGCTCAGTATATATTCTGGGTGTAGGTGTTAGGAAGTCTTTATCACGCATCTTTCCTACCTTCACCATGAAACCAAAAGGGAAGGAGCTACTCCGGCAAACATTCTGGGTACGGAATCACGGGCTCATGCTGGAGAAACCGAAGACGATGTTGCAGTGTATTAAAAACTTCATTTGGAGTTCAGTCTTTTCAAACACTAATTTTCAGTATCTGTTACTTCTGCTAACATGTGCACGATTACTTCCAATGATATTTTTAGAAAGGGAAGATTGCCACTATAGCTTAGGTTGCAATTTCAGCCAAGGTCAGTCACTTAACTATGGTGATGGGATCCTCTTCTGAAGGCCTCGCTAGAGAAATTCACCAGTATGGAGCACACCTTTCATCCTAGAACTCAGAAGGCAGAGACAGGCAGATCTCTGTGAGTTCAAGGGTAGCTTGGTCTACAGGAGTTGCAGGGTGGGCAGGGCTACATACAGACACCCTGTCTCAAAAAAACAAAATAAATAAATAAGAAAGAAAAGAGAGAGAGAGAGAGAGAGAGAGAGAGAAGAAACCCACCAGTATACAGCTTCAAGACTAAGCCTCGGATTTCCTTTTATCATTCTGCTTACTGTGATAACTGCCTATGCTCAATTCATTTCTCATAGTGGCGTTAAGCAAATCCATAATTCATGTATAAGGTACAAGAGGCAGAGTTCACTGGCTAAAGGTGACTGTACAATAAATACTTGCACCAGATTCTCATCCCCAGCTCATAGAGACCTTTAGTCTTCTCTTGAGCTGACTTCCCAAATCAGAGGGACACTGGGTAACAGGCAGATACAGGATACTGCTACATGGGGTATTCAGAAATCTGAGCAAAAACAACAACAACAACAACAATTTTCAAACACTAAGAACCAAGCAGTACGTCCTCTGGATTGTCTTCACAGCCCAGTCCCAGAAGTCAGTTGCTCTGCTTCCTTATGCCACCAGGCTGACTTAACTGCTGTAAATTCACTTAGAGCACTTTTAGTTTCTGGTTATAATTCCGCATCCTCTCTATCTCAAGGATGAGAACAACAAGACAGATAGTTGCTGATGGGATGAATGAACTGATTTTTTAAAAGGTTTGCTCTCAAATACAAGAAAACAAACATTTAATAAGAGAACAGGTGATCTGTGGCTACAGCTTAATTCCTAAACTGCTAACATCAAGGCAGAGCTGGAGGCCTCTAATGGAGCAGGTCTGCAATCAGGGGCTTCCCCTTAAGGTACCCAGGAATCCTCAGGCACCCTACGCTACAAATACCTACTGATCCGTGTCATAAAAAACAAGCTGAGACCAGCTTCACTCCAGAAACGTTCATGAGAGCAACACAAGTTCAGATGATTGGAAGACTAATATTCATAATTACACCTTCAACTAGAATTAAAAGAAACTTTAAGCAAGCACCCCAACTAATACTAAGGCATTGGGTGACCTTAACAACATGAGGGTGCTGCACCCCACTCTGTGGTGACATAAGCCAAGTCTGAGCACAAAAGACGTTGGGTTTCAAATTTGTCAAACCTAGAGTCTTAGTTGTCTTCTACCAAAACCCAGGCCAGAAAATGAAATGCAACGATAATAAATCTGTCTCATTTCAAAATTCCCTGATGGTAAAACAAGCATCTCAAGAAAAAAGAATGTCCATTTTTAAAAAGTGAACTAATTCTTCAAAATTGGTTATAAACTTCCAGTGGGCAATAACTATGAACCTTTTGTTCCAGGCAAGAAATTTCTTATATTTATAATTAACATACATACATAATTTACAATTATTTCAGCAAACACTTTCCCATTTTATAATCGAGCAAACACTATGATTTTATGTAGCCAGCATGCTGAAGTTATGCACAGTAACACTGATACTATCATCCATGAACCAAAGCTGAGGAGGTCTTACCACTGCACATCTGCCTTAGCGAGGGTTCTGAGTACTCAGCAGTGGAACTAAGAATGAGCTGGCAGAGTCAAGTCTTCTGTAGGACTGGTTTGTTGTTTTCTTTGTTTTTTGTTTTTGTTTTGTTTTTGACACAACCTCCACCCCCAGCCCCAAGGGACAAAGGGCATTAAAAACTCTGTTCAGAATGAATAAGGCAGGTTTGCAAAGGTTACCAGTGGTCAAATCACTAAGCACTGTTAGCAAATTCTTGCTTCATATACCAGTTGCTTGAAACCAGGGATCCCATCAGCCCTCGAGTGGTAGCTGCCCACGATGTCTTATTATTATAACACGCTTTGTGAGTACCTGTGAAAGGGGGCACTCCTTGGCCAACGAACTCTGATTCATATCTTTCAGTAAGTCCTTCAGAGCATTCCTTACTGTGGTGTGCGACCATTGTTCTGGAGGCAAGTCTTCTAGTTTGGGGCAACTATTTGAGACATAGATTAGAAAGGGGATTATTACAGGATTGCATCCCGCTGCAGAACATTCCTTTAAGACAGACAGATTTCATTTTGCGAATCAAACAGATGCATCTGGAGATTGCTCTCGGTCTCCTGATTGTTCCGATTAGTTAATTACTTTATACAACACATCTGCTGTATCGATGCATGAATTATACATCAGCTGCCTGTGGTGGCTATTTTTTCATGTTACTTCTACCTTCCTGCTCTGATGCGCTTGGGAAGACAATTTAAGGTGTACTGCTTTCTCGCAAGCCACCAGGAAAAGCATTAACGTATTAACTGATTTCCTCCCACTACTCTGTTCACACGAATTAAAATGGCAAAAATACAGATATAAGTAAATAAGATCATGGCAAAGCGAATAAGGCATTCTTTCACAAAATGTACACAGATGGCACTGTTCATGATATGCAAAAATATTTTTTCTTAAGTAAACTTTATGTAAAATGCCTTCTTGTAATGCATCATTTAATTGACTAAAAGTAAAAAGTCTTATCTTTTGAACGCATGCAAAAAATGCAGAAATTTCAAGAGATGGAGATGATTTCAGAGTCAAACATTGAAGCTGGAGAAAATAACAGAAGGGGTAAAGTTACCAAATTAATCTGGATTAGCATGTCTCAAACCACCGAGTAAACAGAAACTGCGAGCTGGCTAGAGAAGCTTTATGTCCACACTGGCAGGCGGAGAATTTCCCTTGGAACTGCTGCTGGACTCACCTGTGTAACTGGATTTTGAGTGTGACCACATGATACACATCTTGAAGCATATCCGCTACCGTAGCGTCAGGGGCATCTGTCACATATGACAGTGGAACTGGGTTCCACTTCCCAACCTGGATGAGCCCTAGTCCAGATAAAGAGAGGACATGCTTAGTGCTGGCTCTCAGACCCAGAGAAAGGTTGCTGTGCTCTTCAGCATTGCCACCCCCACAAGCAATATTGTTATTTCTGTTTGAATGATTCCCTTTCCCTCAAAAAGGCAGGTCAATGAAGACATCCGCAGCATAGCTTTCCAAATTGTGAAATTATGTAAATGACTATAGGGGTTGTTTATTATTTTGGAAATAAATACCCATCAATTAAACCACATTGTCCTAACTTACAGGAAGTTCTAATAAGACATAGCTGAACCGGTTTTAAATGGCTTTATGATTTAGATAAGATTCCCTATTGCAGTGGGAATCAACATTGAAAAATACTTTACAGCCCATAAAACCATCAGAAACAGAATAAAAGAAACAGAACTAGATATTCAGTCATAAATGCAAATTGACTCTCAACAGTCCATCTGCTCAAATACGCTCCTCACTTCCTTGTGGGTCCTCAGTGGAGCAGATTATTAAGGTCAATAAGCATACTAATGATTCAGCTGAAGTAATTTAAAAAAAAAATTTACCTCGACATTCCACATGAGCAAAATGTGTGTTAACTAAACCAAACTGAATTAAGCTAATTTTTAAAGCCACAGTCTATAAGGAACCAACATAAAGCACAGGCTGCAGCTCTCTGGATAAAATGTTCTCTGCTTTGTCTGAGAGGCACACAGGAGCGCCAGCAACTTCCCAGCCCCGGGAGTGCATCTTTTACCTTTGGCCTGGGCAGCAGAGCTGTGCGAATAGCCCAGAGACAGCAACGCCATCTCTATCAGCTGGTTGAAAAGCATATCCTTTCTCACCAACACAAACTCCGCATGCTCCTCCTTGCAATCATACTCAATGGCGTTTTCATAATGTTCCACCACACAGAAAACTGGGAGCATCGTTCCTATCAAAAAGACAGTGAAAAAGACAGAAACCCGACAATCTTCAGAAACAGTCTGCAAGGGGGACACCTAAGCTCTGAAAATAAATCGTTTGCACAGGGAGAGAAACAACAGAACTCCCCAGGCAGACTGGGGAGAGACACAGGCACACAGACAAACACGCAGTTGCTCACTGTTTAAAAGTTGCAAAGGAATTGCTTCCATTTCCTCTCGTTGTAACAGTTTATCTCGTTGTAACAGTTTATCTCCAGAGCAGTGAGCACACAATTGCTTCTCTGACCAAACAATAATGCTTCCGAGAGAACAACTGACTGTCTGGCCTTACAGCCCCTGTCTTCAGAGGGCCCACCTTCCTACTGTATACACGCTTCTGCCAACAACAGCTTTCACTAGCTTGTGTCCCAATTATCTGACCATATAATCATTCCTCTGCCCTTTGCAGAATTTCCTCTAACTGGTTCCATAAAAGGAACACAAGCCCTAACCAAACCGATCCTCGTAGACACTGTTTCAAGGCACATAAAGTAGAAAACTTACACTTTTGTAACTACCTATCCCATCTACCTGAGGAAAAAGACATGATAGCAGCCGAAGTCTTAAACACTGACAATGTCTGCCCCAGGAAATATGATAAGGATGGCAGAGAGGAAGAGGAAAGCTGGCCTTCCTGAGAGGCACGAGCAGCAGACACCGATGGTCTAATGCAGCTCTGCTGCCTTCCTTTCATTCACTGCAGCAACTCAGCGGCCCAGGCCATACCACTGTTGGGAAAGAGGCTTGGTCTACAAGCTGGAAGCCATCTGCAGTGGCACTCAAGGTATTAGTGCAGTGTGCTGTCAGATTTCCAACAGATACAGAAAAGGGTTAAAAACAGATGCATCTGAACAGTACTGTGGCACAGTGCCAGGAGGGCATCATCTTTAGCATAAATGATGACAAGGGTTACTTTAACAGGGCACCCAGGACCCCAATTATTTCTACAGTATCCCTGCCTATATCGGCTCCATAGCCTGGACTCATGGACTCTCAGATCCCTAACTTGGGAAGGTTTCAGTGCCTACCGACCGCTGCTGAGAACCAGCATTCCCCACTTGCCAGAGAGACCCTTTACAAATTCTCTACTTGCTTGTTTCTGCTGAACAAAAGCCGGCCATAAAACAGCTACATCTTCCCACATGTGTGTCTTCACCAAAGCTCTGTGAACTGTTCACAAGAGATTCCAGCTCTGACAATTAAACCCCTTTAGGTTTACTCAGAAAAGCTCGCAAACTCATTCGGAAGTACCAGCAGGCTAGGCATGAAAAACAAGCCGTAGAGCTTGCCAATATTCTTGTCATTCATTCAGCTGTTTTATACCAGAGAGAGAACCCGTCAGGGATCAGAAGAGAACTTGGGGAGACCGCAGCAAAAATAGCAATATGCAAACTGGTGATTTCTTCCTTGGCTTGAAGGTATTTTGGCAAAATCTCTTAAACAAATAAAAACACCCAAGCCCTTTTTTTAGTGCTTTCTCAGCTTAGCCACAATTTTTATCTAGCACCTGTCAAACAGAAACCATGCACATAAAAAAATAAGATTTAAAGAAAAAAAAACTACTGAAAGGCTTAGAATTTTTTGATTTTTGTATTAAGCACAGAACCTTCCACAATTAAACTATATTTTTAAGATATGGAATTTTGAACGTAATACATTTTTTTTAAAGCATTTGAGCAGGAATGAGATGATCAGGCTCTGGTTCCTTCTTTCTGTCACTGCTATCTGTTGGGTTAGCAAGCCAAAAACATGCATACTGGTTCCTCTCTCATGGAATCAGAGGTGTCGAACAGGGAGTAGCTTCTCAGAGCTCAGCGCTATGAAATAACTGAAACCTTTTCAAACCACTGAAACAGCCTGGGTTGACTCTGTGTTTTATTGATCAAATTTAAAGGTGCCTTATAGATAATAAAGGTGGCTACAGACACGGTAGCAAGGGGATCATCTAATTATAAACCCAGTGCTAGATCGTCTCGAGAACTGTCACGGTTGCCCTCCTGTTAAAGGGAGTAATATTAAACAGGAGCCTTCGCTGGGCTGCCTGATTATTCAAGCTGGTGTTTGGCCAGACTTCCAACTACAGCAACTTCCTAGCCCTCCAGCATTAGAAAGGGAGAGTACTGGTCACTGCTGAAAGTTAAAAATACCACATGATTTAAACCTGAAGGCAGTCTTAGAGGCTTTTGCTGGAGGTTTATGAGCCTGTGTAAACAGCACGGCTGCCATAAGGAGCAGTGGAGTCTGTAGAATCCTTGTCTAAAACTGTCCTGGCATTAAAGTTTGCTGTGCAAATATCACATAATACCAGAGACAGCTGAAATCTCCTATTTAGGAATTTATGGAACTTGTGTGTTTGCAGGCGTCAGAAAGTCTTTTTTATAGAGCCTCAGCGCTACACAGTACAATATTAATGCACTCTGTTTGAAAAGCCATAATAAATTATATTTTTAATGCTCTTACCCTGGCTTAAAGATGCATACATTCTTGGCAAACAATCAATAAATAGGGTAATCACGAGTAGAGGCCAAAGAATTTGCTGAGGTGCTGTTTTTCCATTTTTAATAGATAAAGATCTAACAATACGGACTGCTGTGTCTGTTTATTTCAGGATCAATATATTCTTTGTTTTCACCAAACCAAGGAAAAAAATAAATGATTGTATGGTAAATGTTATGCATCAAACACAATGAAATTCCTCAGCCCCCTAACTTTCTCTACTTAATATTCAGGGTTGGTAAAGATGGCATTTTTATTCTTTGCTCAGAAAAGCACAAAATCTGACTCCTACGTATTATTCAATGAAAAAATAAAGATAGCCCACAGAGGAACTGCCCTGTTGTGACAACACAGACAAAGTTGTTAAAACTCCATCAATTTCATCTTGGTAGAAAATCACTTGTTTATTTTTCCCTTTATAAACTTGCCCAAATTTTCCTTTCCTTTACCAAAAATTCTCAAGTATAGCAGAAATTAACTAGAATCAGCAAGTTTTTCCACTGTTAAATAATTACTTTGCTCTTCAGAAAATAAACCACAATAAATTCCATCACAAATCTCTGATCTCATGTCAGATCCATGTCCTGAAATCCCCTCACAGTTAGTATCGCAGGAAAAAAACCTGGGCGATTCTCAAGCAAACTCAGCGTTTTACTCTCCATCAGGGTGGTTCAAGGAGCAGCTACCTGCACATCTGTGACTGCAGTGCTATCCACCTCTGTAAGGAAGACTGCAGAAAGTCTCAGACCTCCAGCCCTGGGTAGGAAGAAGCACCACTCAAAGACAGCACTCACGCTTTCAAAACATGATTGACACTACAGCCCAGGATGCCACGTAATTTCACATCAGAAAGCTACCTAGAAAAAGAATATACACGACATGTCCCAGCCCTACACTTCCACACGGGGTGGTCTTGGGCGGACACCAAACAGCTTTCCAGGATTCGGCTGGCAAGTATTTACCTTTTCTAAGGTTGGCTTTCATCAGATGGCCCGAGTGTTTCAAAGGCACTCCCTGCATCTTTGCACCTGTGCTCCCAAGCCTTCCTCTTCCTAGTGGGCTCCCGTTCTGCTCCAGGCGGGCAATCTTGGCTGGTGGACCCTTCGGATCGCTCACATTGTTAGACATTTCTGAATGCTCTTTCCCCTGAGTTGCCTCGTTCAAATGATCCATACTCAGTCACTGTCTTACAGATCACCTGGCAGAACTGGAAAAGAAGACGTTATCAGTGGGTGGAGGGCTGTAGTTATGCCTGCCCCATACACGACTCATCCCTAGACATTTCCCTCCATAAACAACTACATAATGATCTACAAGGTTATGCTTCTATCTAAATTAACAGAATACTGTGGAATCTGTACCAATGTACGTGAATAAAACAGTAATTCCTCAGCTAAAACTATGAGAAAAACGGGCTGACTTTCAGAACAAGAATACCATAAGGTAAAAAGAAAATAACAAATTATACTCATGTACTCTCGATTTTTAAAAAATTAAAAATTCACGACCGGCTATGACTATAATACTTGTAATGGAGGATGGAAAGATTACAGTGTGCAGCACCAGGCTTCCTAGGAGCTTACACCCTAATGTGCATTGCCATCTATGCTACAGACGAGAACCTCAGAACACTGCAAACACCCACTGCCACTTGCTTTGTGAGCTAAAGCAGCGAGAAGTTTGCTGCTAGCTAAGTTTCAGGAGTTCCGTGCTATTAAAGCTCTCAAGCCCTGGACAAACACATGACTGGATCATTTCACCCCTAAGAACACAGGAAGGAGTGGAGCGCTCCTTCAAATGTCCCATGTCTTTTAGCAGGACAACTTGTCTTCTGGAGTTAATATTTAGGTGTCCATTGTTAACAGGGTGCTGTTAAATTAAATAGCAAAAACCCTTAAGATATTTTGTGATACACACAAAAAGTGGATGTGTGAAGCTCGCTTTAAAAAATAACCCTAACAATATTGACCAAGTACAATCTCCAGTATTAAAAAATAATCAGGATGCAATGAAGTTAGTACCATCATAATTTCAGAAAAATGTCAATTAGACTTCAATTTTGAATACTGCTTATAATAAAGCAACTGGTACAATATACCAAAGTTACTTCTAAATTATATTTTTAAATAGAGGTGGTTAAACAGAACAGGTAAGCAGAATTATGTTATGAATTTTCATTAGCCTTGAAGTACTGGGGACATTTAGGAAAGCCAGAGAGAATCTGACAGCATTTTTTCCAGCTGTCTAGTATTTTGAAATATCTTATATACTTTAAAAAATAATTAATATACTCAAAACTATTTGGACCTGGATCAGCTGATAGTTTGTATTAGCATGACTTTTTGATAGTTTTCTCTTATTAGGTTTACCCTACTTCATCCTATAGAACCAAGAAATGGCGACAGGCATGTGATCGGGAGCTTTAAGCAACCTTAAGAATGACAAACCAAGATCTACCAAGTTTGAGATACAATAATAGTTATTTATCTTTGTCCTCCAGGGTGGCACACTGAGCACTACAGGTTCACACCCTTGACCGAGGTCCCATCTGCTTTTGGCTATGAGGTTCGTTAACAATAAACGAATCCTTTTGAACCACTTTTTAGCAAGCTCACTCTTCCGTTCTCTTAAACAGCAGTCTAAAGCCAGAATTAGAATGATGATTTATTAAGTTGTTCAAAACACTCTTTATGTTTATCCGGACCACAGTGCTAGGCTGATTTCTCTAAAACTGACTGCCTTACCCTAAAGCAGAAAACGAATCTTAAAAGTATGAATTGAACAGAAAAAATTTAACCCTTGTGGAAATTTGTGAGAAAAAAGTGGGAGGGGAATTCACAACAGCATCAAAGTTAATACAGAGCATATTGGGTGGTCAGGAGGTGAGCAGCACCGGCTGAAGGGACTGCAATTTAAAGTCCAGACAGCCAAAACATCACATAGGTCATAAAACTGTTTTTTGAAGAGACACCTAAAGCATCTACTAGACACTAAATCAATTCTTTAAAAGGTTTTCATTATAAAGCAAAATTACATGCACATAAAACACCCAATTTAATACTCCTTTAAACTCTAAGCCAAGGCGAAAGTTCGTCAAACCTGAGGCTGGAGGTGAACCCATCCACTGCCAACAGGCCTGCCTGGACTGACAGCAGCTGGGACTGTGCTCGCAATCAAAGCCCATCTCAAGAGTCTGAGTTACATATTTTAAAAACCACTTTAGAGCAATGTACAGATGGCACACAGAAAGGGGCTACTTTCCCCAAGTCCCATTTCCCTGTCCATAAACTAAGACCACAGAGGATCCTTCCTGAACAAGCTGATGAACTCCATCTCAGGAATTATTTCCTTTAAAAAGCAGGAAATAAAACCACGAAATTCTGATTACAAAACAGTATATATATATTGTCCTTTTTTTTGCACCGTGGGATCTCTTTTCGAAGAGTTCCTCTTAGGGTCGTCTTCTTCCCGCAGAACCCCAGAAGCACATTTTAAGAACCCGTGCCCTTATCCATTCCATATGGCCGGCCCGATCCAGGCCAAGCTTTTGCTGTGACCTTTTAAAGAGACAAAGAAACAAACTACTATCTAGCAACAGCAAAGCTGCAGTTTTACTGAGTGAAATTAGCAAAACCGACCTGAAACTCACCACTTCAAAACTTGACAGCATATAAATAACAAAACAAAGGAGATTTCCTTTGCAGCCCGGGTTCTTGAAGTGAAGTTCAAGACTGGAGTTTCCTATGTCCCTTTTTATTATTATTATTTACAAAAAAAAAAAAAAAGGCAGTAGACCTGAAGGCGACTTCCCCTGAAATTGTATTATTTTTCTCTTCCCTTACCCCCGCCCCGCTAAGCGGGGGAAGGGCAAAAATAAACAGCTAGGAGAGTAGATATGGGGGGGGGGGGGGGCGTAAAAAAAGTCACAATTCGAAAAACAGTATAGCTAGCTGGTAAAATGTCTAACCTCAGAGAACGGGGTTTGGGAGGGGAGGAGGGGAGAGTGGGTAGTAGGGAGGAGGGAGAAGGTAAAATTGATCTGACAAGTGATTCGTTGGGGGTGAGGGGAGTCGTAAAAACAAAGCGGAACCCGTTAGGAGCTGTACACTGGTGGTACTGGGGAGGAAAAAAAAATCACTGCGGACAAGGACCCCAGAAAGGGTGGGGAGGGGGGGGAAGGGATCCTTGCCCCCTCCTCTTTCTGAGCTCCTGGGAGAGCGTGTAAAGTCGGCTTGGTGTCACCCTGCCAGGCTCGACTGAGACCCCGGAGCGCCAGGGAAAGGCCACCTCGCTTTCTTCCCAGCCGCCCCCTCCCCCTCCTCCACAATCGCGACTACGATTAACAAACCTTAAACTTTTTCCCCACCGCCTCGCACCCCCACCGAGGGTATCTAGCAGGGGCCTGAGAGGGTGAGGGGTACAGGGTCGCGCCAAGAGTCTCGGGAAGGCACTAGAAGGCCACTTGGGAGGCCGGCGTCGCCGACAACAGCCCCGGGGACCCTCTCCCTGCCCATGGACGCGGGGACCCGGTGCGCCCGGGAGCACCGACGGGGAGGGAGGAGCAGGGGGGAGGGGGAGATCCGAGGGCAACCCCGCCGCCGCCTGGGCGGCCACTCGCTCCCCGCCCCCTCCCCCCAAAAGTCGCCAAGCTCTCACTCAGCCCGAGTCGGAGGTAAACAAGAAGCTCGACAATGGCAGTGGGACTTGGGGACGCAGCCGCCGCCCGGAGGCCCCCTAAAACTGATGCGGAGTTGCGCGGAGGGCGTTGGGTGCCCGGCTGCAGGCGGGGTCCCCACGCGGGCGGCGAGGCCGGTGTCGCCGGCGGCCCGGGAGAGGCGCGCGGGGGTCTGCGCGCGCCTGTGAGCGCAGCTCCCCGGACGGCTGCCCGTCGCTCGCTCGCTCGCTCGCTCGTGTCCCCTCGCGGCCGCTCTGCCCCCATTAAACCAGGAGTTGACTCATCCCGGCCGCGGTGGCCGCTGCCGCGTCGCGCCGGGCTCCGCGCGTCCTCCCGGGCTGCAGCCCTCGCCGCCGCCGCTGCTGCCGCCGCCGCCGCTGTGGCTGCCGCTTCTTCCTCCTCCTCATTTTAATGCGAGGCACCGGCTGGCAGCGCAGCCTCCTCCCGGCCGCCCGCAGCCTGCTACCCCGGCGGGGCCGCCGCGTCCCGGGCGCGGGAGGGGGAGGGCGGGCGGCGGGGGCAGGGTGCGGGAGGGCCGGGAGGGACCGGGCTCAAAACCCGGGCTGGAGGGCCGGGATCGGGGGAGGGGCGGGGGCGGCGGCGGCCCGGGAAGAGCTGAGTGGGGCGCGCGCTGGCGGCCGGGCGCGCGAGCATCCGTAATGAGCCGCGAGCGAAGAGAGGCGGGCGGCCGGCCGACTGCACACAATGCCCGGCGGCCGGGGGCGCGGGGAGGACGCGGGGGCGCCCTGGGCAGGTGCGTGCGGGCAGCGCGGAGGAGGGGCAGCCCGGGGACCCTAAGCGGCCCATAGGGACGGGGCGGGGGCGTGCAGGTGGCTCTTGAGGTGGGAACGCTGCCGGATGTGGCTGCAGTGAAGGCGAAGAGCCTGGGGACGCTCTCCCTAATACTTGTTCTCAGAGGAATGTGGTCTCTAAACTGCCAAGAGTGACATTCACTAACAACCGAGTAAGAGTCACAGATAGTCAGATACTTTGGAAACACGCGGCCCGTAGTGCTGGAGTTAAACTAAATTTGGGTCACTGGAAACACACCTGACTTGCTTTTACAAAGGAAAAGATGTCATCATTCTTAAAATACTTCCCATCGGGCGAATACAGGAAAGTTTGGATTTGTGAATGCAGCTGTTGTAGCAATAAATATTTTTTTGTGATCAGGAGAAAGTAAATACAGTCCACATAAAAATGAACACCGTAACATCTCATGCAAAATGCATTACTTAATCACTAAGGTATTTCCACCCGAAAGCAGTGCATCAAGCAAGAGCCAATGTTACACTTTTAAGAACCTATTTTGAAGAATGCAGTAGTAGGGGAAAGATGTAGGACTGAAAAACACTGTGCGAGACAGTTTTAAAAAGCAACAAGTTAGGGCAACCGCAGAGATAAGGACGAGATATGCAAATGAGGCTCTTTAAAGCGACCAATACACTCTAAGGCACACTGTTTACACTAATAATCTAAAAAAAAAAGCAGAAGTAGAGGAGATTGTGGCCTCCTGGGGAAGGATGAGTATAGGAGAAGCACAAAGAAAATAGATTGCTCCTGGAACACCCGCCTAGGTTTCACCCACAAACCGGAAAGGTTAGTCAAAATCGAGGAAGGCAACTGAATCTTGGCACCAAAGCCTTGAGCCAGAAAAGAACATGTGATAGTGAGACAGCCACACCGTCAAGGCAGGGAGAAGTTTAACAGCCTTCACCACAGTGGCTCACACTACCTTTTTTTAAAAGTTGAAATGTGTGGGAAATGTGGAGGCTATTTACAGTATAATAATCAATAAGGAAAATACGAATACAGCCAAATATAGCATTTGTGTGGGAGTCTGTATTGTGACTGGAGGCTAAACTTATTTTGAAAGATATTTGATATTTAAAAGAACAAACATGATTATCGTGATAAGAACAATGATGTTTTTCAATAGGATGCATTAAAATTTCAGTCTCCAATGTGGGATATCTGAATAGCCCTTCAATTGGTAATGCCTGATGTGTTTCCCTGAAACCTGACCTTTCTTAGTAGGTACAGTGTGTTCTAGTGTCATGCTGGATGAATTAACAAACAATAATAGAAAAGAGAGAAATTATACTGGCCTACAAAGGCAACAATATGTCACTTGCTCCTGCAACTCTACTTCAGAGGGATTCTTAGGAAAAGACAGAAGGAGCAGATGAGCTAACTGCTGATCAGAACGAACTTTGAGCACAAAAGACAAAAGGCTTCCTAAGATGCCGTATTACAACACGGGAATGAAAATACTGTAAACTGTTTCTCTGATAATTTTACACGAATAAATATGGCAAAATGCCTGATTGCCTCAGTCTCATGATGACCTGATCAATGCTAATGTATCCTGGGAAATTTTAATCTGAACAGCACCTTTTATTCGGGAATTACCATCTATTCATAAACACAAAATATAAGAGTATGGAATAAAAATTGATATGTCCTTGGAAAAATGATAGAATGGATGAGCATAATGGCATCAAATAATGACTTTGTTATAAAGAGTAACAATATAGTAAAATCATCAATCAGTCACACACATTTCCCTATTTATCCCAGTTCTTTATCCCATTCTTTACGTTTTTAAAGGCAGAATGGGTAAAATGGCACACAGCTGATACCTAGTGATAGCCGCAGTGACGGGCTTTATTACTACATATGTTCATGCGTGTGTATCTGCGTGTGATTTTCCTCTTTAGTACACTTACTAGAGCCACTAAGTACTGACCAGTAAAACTCAATCAACATAGTAAAAAAAAGAAAGATAATTATATTACCTCTCAAGATCTAGGTGAGCCTAAGCTCTCATGCTGCAGGCGGAGGGAACGTTACCTGATTCTATAGGGACATCTCATCTTTAGCCACTAAGATGCAACGAAGTATTGAAAAAAGTTAAAAGAAAATAAAATGTATAGATCTTGCTATCAAACTGGAGAATTTCTGCAGCCTCAGCCCTGTAGCACCAGTGCATGGATGCAGTCAGAACAGAGTGCATCAGTCTTCTCGCTTGTGAAAAGGGCGTGGAAACTGGCTACACCACGGAGTGAGCGTGGAATACTGTAACAAACACACACGACTGTTAAAAACTTAAAGGACTGCTGCGTGTTTCAGATGTTAGCCAAAGGCCTTAAAACACATTTAGAGTTCTGAATAGTGTATATAAAGAGAAAACAGTCAGAACCAGACCGCTTTCAGATACTGCAGCAGACTCACCAGCAGGACGCTTTCTGTGGACGTGGTTTGGTTTGGATTTTATTTTTTCAACTCAAATACAGTTGGCTATCTCCACTCAAAGCAGCTCGATCTATGTAAGACATTGCTTTCTTGTCTTCTCTTTGTTTTTGGCTTTAGCTGCAGGTGCTGTTTCCTATGTGTGAGTTTCTGGGACTATGGTCTGGGTGGCCATATAAGGATGCCTACTCGAGCCATATGTTTTGCTATCATGTGTCTCATTTTGTCTGTCTGGGATGTCAGCACTGATTTCCACATCATTTTTTAAATGGACCAAACACCAACTTGCTAGAGCAGGGAGGAAGTGCTGGGGTTGCAGCCCAAGCAACTTGATGGAAACATATTCTGGAGAGGAAATGCAACATTCTATAAACATTTGCAGCCTCCTGTCTCAAATTATCTATGACCAACATCATGACAACGCCTTACAGTTTGAGAAAGAAGCATGCATTCTATGTCTGCATGTACTTTATAAGCTACAGGCCACATTTTGGAGGTCATGGAAGGGCATACTCCGAAGTCTGTAGGGTCCTGTAGCCAACATGACCCAGCCTTCAACTTAGGAAGTTCAAGTGCACTGCCTCGTGATTTTCACTTATGAAAGTCCCTGACTAATCCTACAAGAAGTTATGAGCCTTGTATATATTCTTGTTGCAATCTGTATTTCTCCTTTGTAACAATCATCACATGCATAATCAATTAACCATCTGAGTGATTATTAGTCAGGCAAACATCTCCCATATCAGGCTGCAAGCGCTATGAGTGCAAAAGTCTCCCCTAATTGCCATAGCTTAAGAACTGAATACAGTATGCTTGCAATGTTTACATCAGACTGCATATAGTGGAGTAAAGAGCCCTCGGTGTCATCTGCAATCAATCCTCACCATTAACTTCACTGACAGTGCTTAAGTGTTGCAGAAGTGAGAAAGCCCAATACTGCAGA